GGTGGAAAGCATGGAAGTGAGCTACCCCCAGGGGTGGTATCACAAGGAATGACTTTGTCCATTTGATGCATTTGTCTCCTTTGGAAGAAGCCTCAGCCCAACTCTTCAGCCAGAAGATAGTTTACTTGCCCTCAAGGCCTCAGCATTAACCAGGCAGCAGCACTAAGGACGACTCAGTCAAATCGGCCATGCCAGGAGCCACTGCTTTGACAGAACTATTTTACATGCATCAACCATAATGTGATTTGTCATTGCTTTCAGAGATGTGGTGTGCAGCCATGCAGCCTGTCATGGGAGTTTTGGCCTGTAAGAAAGTTCTATTAGATTATTTACTCTCTCCCCTTGACTGAGCAGCTTCTTACTGATGTGCTCCTTGAATGGAAGCAATGCTTTCCTACAAGCCCCCATGCCTTCCTTTACTTCCTCTTCCTATCCCTAATGGCTTGATTTCCAGAGGTGATGGTATCCTCAGGCCCTTTTGCTCCTTGAAGAAGTAGGACTGCTCAGGCCTCTTGAAAAGCAGGCCAACACTAGAGAGAGGAGTAATTGCTATCTTTGTGGGCAGCTCCAGGCCATGTCATAATACACTGCTAAGTGAGGATAAGGTCCGTGCTAGAGGGATGAGCAGTTAGAACTTATGCAGGCCTGGCATGAAGAAAGAAATACATCAGTCTATTTAAACTTTTTTTCCTGTTTGTGGTGAGAGGGAGCTTAGCAAGGATGAACATCTTCCCTGTCTTAAAGCATGTAGGGCACACTTCACCCCAGGAACTGACAGGGGTGGGAGACACTGAAAAGGCTTATTTAAACCCATGGTACTGCTCTGACATTAGGAACTCATGGGAAATTTACATTGTGTGATTTAAAGTTGCATTCTCTTTATAATGAGTTTTGTTTATACTATGTACAAATGATAATTAGGGGATGTACCTCAATATATGTTCAAAAGGTACTTCTTTCTTCAAAGTGAGGAAGTTTGCAGGCTGATAACTGATTTTTCTCCAATTTTATTTACTAAAACTTCTTTAATGAGTATTTCTACATTAATAAGAGATGTGGAACTAGCACCAGTTCCTCCTAGGAAATAGGAGAGTTCGTTTTTTCCTGGTTTAACACGTGTAAATTGACCTCTCAAGCTGCATCTGTGAGCACCTAAGCCTATCCAGTGGCTTGATCTTACCATAAGGGGGAAGTCTTGTTCCTTCTTTCCCTTCTCCTCTAACGCAAACTTCTTCCCAGCCAAAGAGCCTGCCTCCTCATTTGTGGTGGCTCTGGAGCTTATTTGACTTGCCTGTGAGCTGGCTGATACAACTCAATGACACAGCAGAAAACCATGCAGCTGCTTCTTTCAAGGTCACGTTTCTGCTTGGTTAGTGACCAACACTGGTGACTGAAGGGCTTCGTTCATTCACAGGTAGTAGGGCTGACAAAATGATGGGATTGCATGTCTGGGAACAGGGCCTCCTCACTCTGGGCAAGGTGAACTGCTGGCTTAGTGATTACCATCCTAGGAAAATGAAACCTAAAGTGTCCAGCTTGAGTACTAAAATCCATTTTAGGCATCTGAAAATGCATCTTAGTAGAACAACCTGTTTTGCACAAGCACAGCTGAGGCCAGTCCTGTGCCTCTGGAGCAGAATGTCTCCAGCAGCTTCTACAAGCCCTGCTGCCCCCCGCCTGCCCCTAACACTCTTCCCACGCTGGCTGGCAGAATATTTGCATGCCTTCCCTGGGAACTGGTCCAGCTGAAAAGGAACTTCTGTACCCAGCTCACTTGCAAAGAGCTGTGACAGTGCAATGCAGGGCAGAACAAGGGACAGAGATGGGCTGTTCTAGGCTGTCAGGGCAAAGCTTGTACGTGTCCAGCTGCTCCTTGCTGCTGCTCTCACAGAATGTTACAAGTCAAAGGCTGTGACCTCTAGTAGGACATGCTGTGCTTCAGCTGTGTCTGTGTTAGCCTCCTGCCCTACCACCAACACAGGCCCTTGGAAAAGAGGTTAAATTGGGTGCTTGGGATTTCCTCATTCTTGAATGGGACAAAAAAAGGCAGTGGAAATGCCTGAGATGGAGGGTGGGTTGCTGCTCTCTGTGTACATTACTTGTCCATTATTTACTTTGACTATCACTGTGACATCATACAACATAAAATGCAATTCCAAGACTCCAGCTGTCCTTCCTCTCCTGGTGTTGTGCAATATTTTGTTACACTTCTTTGTTGCATTTTGGGTCATGCTAAACTGTAAGGCCCTTGTGGCAGAGAGCACGTCACCAGTGTGAGGCATAATGCCTCAGATATTGGAGCTCTAGCAGCAGTGGGGGCCGTGGGGAGTGCCTGTCACAGAAATGACAGGAGGGAATAGTTTCACTCTTGTGGAGTGCAGAGTTAGTCATGTCTGAGATTGCCTGATTTTTGCCCGCCTTTTTGAAGGACTTAATCTTTTCCTGTTGCCTATGCAACTCATACCTCTCCATCCCACTGGCTACCCATCACCTTTAGACCCCTCTCTTACTCCTCTGTTTTGATTCCATGCCTGATTCTTCCCTTTTGTCAAGAGATCACAAGCTCCTGTCCCTTATTCTCTGCATTTCTCCTTTCTGACCTCCCTGACTTTCCTGACCAGCCTGTTTGCTGACTAGGGCTGCAAATAAAGAGAAACATCCAATATTGTCTTCCTAAACACAGAGGCAGATAAATTAAATCAAAAGGTATTTGGGGCTGGAGGGCAAAGGGGAGATGAGAGGTGGGAGAAAAGAAAAGAAAAGAAAAGCCAGCAAAAAGCCACCCCTCTCCTTTGGAACTGTCTTTGGCTTTGTTCCCATTTTAGCAGGAGTACAGGTTAAGGTGAGAGTCCAGATTGCTATGGTAATACCCTTTTATACCATATGTAGTGACTCTTGTTCAAAAGCAAATATATGGACTTGATTAGGCTTATGATTTTTGAAAGGTTTTTTTCAACTAATTAAATCCAAATTAACTATCTGGAGGAACCAGAAATGTCTACAGTAGGGTTAAAGAGATGGAAAGTTCCTCTGGGTTTCAGTGTACTGGCATGCTTTGTGCATCCCTTGTACAAGACTCAATGAAAACTGTATTTTGCTGATGACATTGAACTGTGCCAAAAGATACAGCTGAAGGGGAGTAGCTGCTAGAACATTTGTTTCCAATCTTTTTGGACCTACAGCCTACTGTTAGCCTCCAAAATTTCCTACAAATCACAATTTCACAATTCATACTTTAAACTCAAAACACTACAGAGTCGCCAAATGGCTATTATGGCCTACCACTCTTTGTAGGATATCTACAAGGCTTGAGTAGAGCAGAAGAACCACTGGTCAAGAATGAAGGAATGCAGAGGTGGAACAAAAGTGCCGATTCAAGACTCCACATGTGCAAATCTTCACTGACTACGGAAACCAGTTGGAGGTGAAAGAGTTAGTCTCTGGGGTAGTTCGGTTCATTGTAGAGTCACCATGTGGTACGTAGATACAGATGTTAGGGGTTTCACAAAGTCTTCTTGATTACAACAGAATGATTTGATGGGAACTTTCTGCAAGAACTGTGGTTAAAAGAAACCGGAGAAAACAAAGTCTGAAACACCATTAGGTCAGCTGCAGTCCGCCAGTATAGCGGCATCTCAGGAACAGAGAAGAAAAGCAACACTAGACTGGTAAAATGGCAACCATCAGCTGGATATTACAAGAACTGGCAGGCTATATGCTACAATAACATGCATTTTGTTGCAGGGGCCATGTGGACAAACTGGTATGCGCTGGACTCTGCTAATCATGGACTATGTCACCCAGTGCAGACAGAAATTGTTGGATAAAGAGCTCAAAGAAGGTTAAAAAAAAATTTAAAAAGGTTAACAAATCAACAGAGGAACCCAACAGCTGGCAATCATGGAAGGTGGGATGAGGAACAGATCAGCTCTGAGGAGTCATTGGGTGGATACACATGGAGATAATAAACTGAGTTGTAATCTTGCCAAAGATTAGGTGAAAATGAAAATGCTGATGGTACTGCTGTATTTGGATTTCCACAAAAACAGCAAGCAAGCAAGCAAACAAACTAGCACTTTCCTGCACAGGCAAATCCTTGCTTGGAAAACATCAAGTGCAGACCCAGGCTCAAACCTTGAGCCAGCCATGCATCTGACAGCGCTGCTACTGCAGAATGGCATATGGGGTTTGAACTTATTATCAGGAAGAAAGAGCTCACTGGGTGTTAAGTCAGTCCTTACATATGGGTGGAAACTCGTAGTAATTGTGCAATTTCCCTAAAAAAATCCCCAGAGATCTCAGTTCGGTATTTTGCTTTTGCAGCCTTTCCTGCCTTTGCTGTTACAGTGCTTTTCACTTGCAGTCGTAGCGTTTCCCTACATCATGTAAAAATACGATTATTTCTTTTGCTTGAAGACCTTGGAACAACATTAAAAAGCCACCAGTAACTATGCAGAGGTTCCTTTTGTCAAAATACCTGTCTTCTTTAGTCACGTACACTTAACGAGGAGAAAAAAAAACCCAAGACCAGGATGCTTAAATTCGTCCCTTTTTCCTCCTTTTCAGGCCGGCCACCGGAGCATCCTCCAGCCGCGCAGTCCCCTGTGCAGCAACCGGGGCGGCGGCCCCAGCATCCGCCGCCGCAGCGCCGGCCCGGCGGCAGCTGCTCTCCGCTGCTCGGGGGCGGCCAAGCCCCCCAGGGGCCGCGGCAGTGCCGCAAGGCGGGCAGCGGAGCGAGGCGCTGCGGCGGAGCGAGGCGCTGCGGCGGCAGCCGTGCCCCGCAGCCTCCGCAGGGGCGCGCCGGGCCGCGCTGCGCCCGCGCCCGCGCTGCGCTCGCTGCCGGCCGCGCCGCCGCCGCATCCCGGCTCCGCTGGCGGCTGCCGGCGCGGGGACATGCGCAGTGCCCGCGCTGCGCTCCGCGGCCGCGCTCCGGCCCCTCCGCCGCCTCCCCCGACCCTCCCGCCGGGCGGAGGAGGGGGAGGGAGAGAGGGGGAGGAGGAGGAGGAGGAGGCGGGTAGGGAGAGAAAAGGAGAGAAGAGAGACGAGAGACGCGCCGCAAGTTGGCTCTCCTCCCTCGCTCCCTGGCCGCGCCGCTGCCCGGCCCCTGCGGGCTGCGCTCCGCGGGAGGCGGCATCCAGGGACGCACCGCTCCGCGGGGCCGGCGCCTCCCGGTGAGTTGGGGGCGGTGCGCGAAGTTGCCGTGTCTGTGTCCGGGGGTGCTGGTGCAGTCGCCGCGGGGGCCGGCGGCGGGGCCGCCGCAGGGCTGCCCCTGCCCGGCCGCGGTCCGCGCTGCGGGCGCTGCTGCGGGCGGCGGCAGCGGCAGGAGCGGGCACAGGTGCGGGCACGGCCCCGGCCGGGTCAGCCGTGCGCATCTCCGCGGCGCGGGGTTACCGCGCCTCCCCGCTGCCGCGAGCCAGCCCCGTAACCCTATTTCCATTGCAATCCTATTACGCAGTGACAGGCTCCACTTTGTTTCGCTGTGGCATCTGCTCTTGGGCTTGGAAAGTCTTTAGGAGGACGGGGTCGCTGGGGCGAGCGGGGTCTGCTCCTCGAACAGAGCTGCCAGCGCAGATTGTCCCTAACGCGTCGTGTGCCCGGTGTGCTGCGCGCAGCTCTCGGCTCTCGGTGCTCCGGAGAGGGAAAGGAGAAACTGACCCACGGTCACGCCTGAAAGTTGTGCAGCTTGAGATGCGACGGCAGCTAATGGGCCAATTAGCTAAATAAACAAACATTGTGATTTATAGGTGTCTGAACTATAGCGCTTTGAACGATAGAGCTCTTTAACCTTTCTTTCTAGTCTATCCTTCAGAGATTTGGTTTTAAGGAGAGTAACATATCGTCTGTGGTGCTGAATACACGAATTTATTACATCTGTGAAAGGAACGTCCTTTGAAATAATACTAAGCCATTAAGCAATAAATGCAGAAAAAGAGTGAGACAGAGAAAGAGTGAAGGAAAAAATCTCGGTAGAAAATATTTCTCCCCTTCCTAGCAGCCTAGGAAGCCTAGCAGCTGTGCTTGATTAACTTTTATCCAGAGTTCTCATTTTATGAAATTCAACTTCAAAAACACAAGCGCGCTGTGTGAAACCAGAGGTAAATCCTCCTTAGTCCTCTCAAAGTCTGTCTGTGTTGCAAATAAATGATGATTGGAGCAGCATCTGTTAAGAGAATTTGTAGAAGCAAACACTGCTAAAGATACCCAGTAGGTAAATGGAAGTACATTGTTATTGCATTTGTTTCTCTTAGGCAATACAGAACAAGATATTTCAAATTCCAGGGGGTTTTATTTTACATCTTTAAAATTTTTTCAGCTGCACAGCTTCATTATTGCAAAAGTGCCTCCTCTAATTGGAAAAGTGATTAATTCAGTCCTTAGCTTTTTTATCAAAGGCCAGCTTCTGCAGTCTGTGGGGCATCTCCTGTAAGGGGTGAGTATCTTCTGCACTCATTGAAAAAGAAAATAGTACAGCATGTGTAACACCATGCAAACCTGAAATACCAGAGCAATTCTATATTTAACCAGTTTTTCAACACAGATTTTTATTAACATAAAATTAATATTCAGGTCAGCAAATGGGACCTGCAACTTCCAAGAGGCAACACATTGCTCATTTGAGTAAAGGTTGTGGGATATGACAGTCATCAAACTCACCCATCTTTTGTTTGGTTCCTTTTATGAGGTGTTATTTTATGAGGAAAAGAAACTGGTAATGCATTGTGTTTTAAGATACAGTGCTCCTCATAAGCCTCATTGCCAGGCATTTGAAAGTGGCTTTGGATCATGTATTGTGTACAAATTACTACTACTAGATAACTTAAGTTCTGAATTTATTCTACTATTAAAGTTATATTGATCAGAAAGTGACGACTGGATTCCAAGTCCTAAATAAGGATGATGTGAGAGGTAATTTATATTTTAGAGAGCACTGAGGAGTCCACAAGAAAAGCTATCCAGTTTTTCTTGCTGGACATGTAGTGGCATTTAGTTTAAGGAACTCTCTTTCCTGGTGCACTAGCAACTTAATTGACATATAAAGGAATTAAATGAGTTTATCAGCTCATTGATGCCCATGGTGAAGTGCTGTAGAGTTCAATGGCTGGAACAGGACAGTTATTTTGCTTCCAGTAAGGATAGGGCTAGAGAATTGAGGGGCTTTTTCAAAGTAGTTCCAAACCCGTATAGTTTGTAACTGTAAAATATAATGCAAGAATAAAATCAATAGACCAAGAAGACTCAAAACCATGTGTCAATTAAAACAATAAATCATTCAAATAACATTACCCATGCCCCTACAGCAATGCCTCTGCTTCCGGGTCTCGAGAATGGGGCGGGTTTCAGGCAGAGGATGCGAGGGTAGCTCAGCCCTGGAGTGGCAGTGGGGAGGGGCAGGTGTCCTGTAGTGTGGTGGTTGTGCTGGGGCTGGGAGGGAGCCCAGGCAGGCTGAAGGGGTGCAGAGGGCTGCCACTCACCCTTATCCCCAGGCTGCTAAGCTGAGATGGGGACTGGCTCCCTCCCATATTCGAGGGTTTGCTGGATGTGTGGCAACTGCTGGCCCAGCCCTGCATGGAGCCAGCAGGGGAGAGGTGCTGAATGAGGCCCAGGTTGCGCAGCTGTAGCTCACAGGCAGGCTGCCCTGGCTGCTTGCTGCCCATCCCAGCATTGCAGGGATGCCATCAGTGCTGCTACTGCCTTATACTGTGTATAATAATGCCAAAAGAATTCCGGTGAGGGAAGAAACTCAAGTTTCTTCCATGGGAAAATGGTCCATTTGTAAATTTTTATATGATTAGATACTGCTTTCATGGAGTGAAACATGGAAAGGTGAGCAGTGTATACTCATTTGTGCAATATTATGAGAAGTAAACTCTAAATTTTGAAATCACTATGCAGTCATATGAGCTCATGGAGGACCTGTGAGAGCTGCAACACAGATGAGAAAGCTGAATCCTGATTTGGCTGCCAATTTACTGCAGATAGTTGAGATGTCCTTGGTTGCTGTTCCCCCATCTCTATCCTGGTACCCATCAATGCTCTGAATTGCTGCACTGTGCCAGAGGTTCTCCATCAGTCACTCCTTCCCCCTGGTCCCTCACCTCCCAAAATCCCAATGTGCCATGCCAGCAGTGGTGCCCTGCTTGTGAACTGGGGTGAGTGGCAGCCTGCAGGTGTTCAGTGACTCCTTCAAGGCCCCAGACTGCAAACCCCTCTGCAGTTTCATTCTGCTTCTCTTCTGTGGTGAAGCAGTTTTTTTTGGCAACCCTCAGTTACCTGGGCAGGGGTGGGCAAGCTGCAGGTGGTGGGACCTCCAAAGCTTGCTCTTGAGAAGGTGCACCAAGTGCAGCTGTGAGGTGGATTCGAGTGACAGGAGGTGTGCCTTTGCTTCATGGATGTGATATAACCCAGTTTTAATTAAAGCAGCCACAGCAGATTATTAGGGCAGATAAATACTGCCTTGTTACAGCCCTCTTGGGTCATATGTAAGCAGTATTTGTTTTAGAAAGGATGAATGAATAGTCAGTGTGAAGGATAAAGATCAGCATTGTTAATCACTCTGGAAGTCTTCCGTGGGAAAGTGTAAACTCATGAGGAAAGATAGTGCTCATAAATGTCATTTAAATATTTAAATAACTTGAGGATAAAATTTTGATAATAAAGGCATGCAAGTACCAAGTTGTGTTTGGGTTCCTGTCAAAGATAACTGGGACTTGTACAGTTGACTTCGATCATTGATTGGCTGTGCTTCTACTTCATACTTTGCCAACAGGAATGAAGAGCTCATCTTCAGTGCCACCTGTGGGGAAAAAAAAGACCTAATTTTTTCTTGTCAAAGTGCAGAGAAAAACTTATATACTTGGGAGGCTACATTTGCTTAAGATCTTGAGCTTCAGGAGGGGTTAACACTTCCCTTGTGTTCGTGGGTAAGCAGTGTGCTAGATGCCTTTACTGGGGCTTGAGTCAGGGACACTGAGTATCCAGCTGCAGTTTGTTGCTGTTGATAATCTGCAGGGTGAGAAGAATGACTCCAGGTGGGAGTCCACCCCCATTAATAAGCAGAAATTGTGCATCTACTGTTCCTTGATTTTGTAATTCTCACTAAAGTTTCTTTTGCCCTTTCATACCTCTAAGAATGCCTTACAAGTGTTGAAAAAAAAAAAAAAGCCTGTGTGCTTTCATGTAAATGCAATGAGGATGAGCCTTTGAAAATACATCTAGCTGATGTTGATGAATAAACAAACTTGGCCAGGGTAAATCTTTTCATCTAACTTCAAGAGCCACGCTGTAATGAAGTAAATATAGATGTACTTAATGGGCTTCTTTCATCCAAATATATATCAAACCCTTTAAAGTAATGCAAACAAATCTAAAATGGATTTCTAAGTGGCTTTTTATTTTTTGTTTTCTTAATATTGGAGCAGTTTAGTCTACCCAGGTTAGGCCAGGAGTGGAGCTTGCTCCTGGAGCTGTGCAGATGCTGAGGTGAACGCTGGCCTGAAGGGGAGGGGGCAGCAGGAATGTGAGAGCCCCAGCTCTTCTCCTGGGGAGTTGTGCAGCAAAGGCAGGAGGTGCTCATTCCATGACTAGTTTAAAATGTATTATTTGATGAGTGTCTCTCCAGGCATTTCCCTTTGGAAGGCAGCTTGCAGACCTGGCTCCAAGAGGACCTGCCGGGCCTGCTGTCTGTTCCCCTTGTCTGTGCTCAGCCCAGGCTGCACCAAGAGCTCCCCAAGCTCAGGATGCCTGGCTGCTTTCCCCCAGGGCCACCTGGGCATGGCGTGCCACTGCTTGGCCAGGTGCAAGGCTGACTGCAGGGTTGCTCTGCAGGACACATCCTGGAGTGCCCCAGGTGGGGTCCTGGCTCGGAGTACCTGAGCTGGGTGTTAAAGGTGGCCTCGGAGCCATCAGGATACCTGCCATAGACACAGTAAGTGACGTGGTGACTTTGCAGCATCCTGTTGGTTGGAAACTGTGGGAAATGAGTTCAAAGCACAGTTCTGCAGATCTGGGCATTCACTGCATGGCAATGGATTGGGTTTCATTTCAAGTCTTGCAGGATGACTGTTTTTAATGATAGCATTTGTAAACAGATTAATGACGTTTTGTGCAAAGCATGTCTTGTACATAAAACTGTTTGGTTTCATTGCCCTTGATTGTAAAGAGTGTGTAATGT